AAATGCACCAGGCTGTCCACTGCAATATTCGATTATAAGATATGGGTGATTATGGAAGTGTCTACACAGAGGGGCTGGCTCAGTGACTGCTGGCGCACACATGCGGTGGCGCGCCCTGCAGTGGTGAACAGGGATGAGGAACGGGCGGGAAATGATTTCCACAACATAATGGCGACTGGAAACCCCGAAGCTCCAGTAAGTGTACGGAGTGTAAGAACGAAGGGGAAATGAGAAGTCACTCGTGTCTGCTTGCTTCAACAACAACAACAAACACACAAAAACGTCATCTCCTTCGGGGGCAAGAACAGAAGAAGTGGAAGCAATAGGGAAGAGAATAAAATTCCTTTAAGTCCTTTTTAATACAGTTTCCACTCTCCCCTCAACCCAGGTTCATGGAGCTATAAACAAAGTACCGTGTACATTTAAGGGTGTGCAAGCATATGACGGACATGTACTGCAGAATGCAATTCTGAGTTTTAGAAGCATGTTAATGTTTTACATACTCAAAAACCGAAAGAGTAAGGATGAAATCAACAGTAAGGATGAAAATGTCTGCAAGGAAACAGAAACAAATGAACCCATATACACTGAGTGGCCAGATTATTATGATCTCTGAAACACATAATAATCTGGCCACTTGGTGTATCCTATATAAGAAAAGGCTAACATGCAAATTGTTCCCTCGACCAGGAGTTCGACCGGCAGGCAGGCTGGCCAACCACCCGATGTCCCCTTCCCTTGGCCAGGCTGGCTGGATCCCACCCATGCACGAATTCATGTATTGGGCCTCTAATACACACAAACACACACACACACACACACTCTCTCTCTCTCTCTCTCTCTCTCTCTCTCTCTCTCTCTCTCTCTCTCTCTCTCTCTCTCTCTCTGAGTAGCCAGGTTATTATGCATTCAGAGCTGGTAATAATCTGGCCACTCAGAGTATATGTTGATCAACATGACAGCCCTGAGAGGTGGGAGGAGAAGCACTTTTGAAGTTGGTATTCTGACCATTTTCCGTCTGCACAGAGGAAAAGTAACTGCCTACAAACCTCGAGCTATTTTCAGTAGGTCAGTCTTTGGAAATGGTGTGACCACAGCAGTTCCAAGGCGACTTGAGGTGCCCCGGAGGGCGGAACAAGATGTAAATGAGTTGATCACTTCAATGCTCTTAGGAACCAGGGAGATTGGAATGTGAATGGGGAGGATGAGGGAAAAAAACCTGAAACCGGCTTAGCATGGAGTGTTAACATGAACCTTTTCCTGGCTCTTCCCACGAAAAAGAGAGAGAGAGGTAGCAAGCACACAAGAGCCCGTTGAAGGGACTCAGACTTGCCAAATCAAGGACAGCGACAACTCTCAGAATAGAAGAGGAATCCATGAGTCTAAATGAAAAAACAGATGGAAGGAGACAAGGAGAGCTCTTCCTTACCAAAACACACTGCGTACCAAGCTCCCAGGAAACAATGTCCCCCCTGACAGTTCCCTGAAGAGCTCCGCCTCTACCCGCCTCCCATCCACCCCGCGGCCGGCCTGGGGCCTCACCCCAATGACTACGTGGCAGATAGAGTAATTTTCAACTTCCAAAAACAAGGCATTCATGTTCTTAACAGTTTTCTTAGAATACCCAAAAATAAAAATAAATACCCTAAAATATATTTATCTGGGTCACCCATATCCTAGCAACAAGAAATTTAATAGAGAGTGCCAAGCTCTAGTTGGTTTGGCTCAGTGGATAGAGCGCTGGCCTTCGGACTTAAGGGTCCCAAGTTCAATTCCAGTCAGGGACAGATGCAGGGTTGCAGGCTTGATCCCCAGTAGGGGGCAGGCAAGTGGCAGCCAATCTATGATTCTCTCTCATCATTGATGTTTCTATCTCTCTCCCTCTCCCTTTCTCTCTGAAATCAATAAATATATATACATATATATTTTTTCTTTTTTTTTTTTTTTTTAAAGAGTGCCAAGGACCCAGGTTTATAAGGGGCTGGAAAAAGAGTCCAGAAATTCTCAATATTCACGTTCTAGAGAAAAACTAAGGAAACCTCTCTTGTCTCTTTCTCCTCCCCAAGTCAGATCAGATGATATGTAATCATACTCTCTGTGGCTTCTGACTCTGGCTCAGAGCCACGCGATGTCTCCAACGTGACGGCTATAATGAAACGCAGCCAAAGACCCTCGTAGCTGGCTGCTGCAACTGTTTCTCAACAATGCCTTCCTCCAGATTGCGATTCCTTTGGTGATCAAGTAACCAAATACATTGAAGAAACCAAATACATTGAAGAAGATAAAGAGCAAAGATCACTTTGTAACCTCCTTAAACAAATATACTACACCATTCTTTTCCAAATAAACATGAATCTCTCGATGTATTACTGAAAATACCCTAGACCGTAAATAAAAAGGAGGGAACATGCTATCCCTCCAACAGTAAACATTTCACCAAGTCAAACAACAGGACTTCCTAAGTACTATGTATGCAACATGGAGAGAGAGAGAGATGCGGCCATCTTTTCCACTGCCCTGCCCTTCAGCTCTTAGAAAGCACAAGTCGAAATACTGGTAATGTTACCGAAGGGAGTACCTACCACACGGGTGACATCAGAAGGAACTGATCACACACATATTTCCTTCTTAGGGCCAGGAGTTTGGGTTTGGGGGCAGGGGAAGAGTGTGCGTCTGGTCTGTTCCTATTATCGTAAGCCTGCATAATGACGTCCCCTGCCGGTTGCACATGAAATCTTGCAATTCTATTTTTATTAGTTACACTTCACTTACAACGTCATCACAGGCCTGCGCTTCAAGGACATATTGTAACCACCCAAGGAATTACAAAACCGTTTTCTGAATGCTGTAATAGTCCAATGGTGTTGGTAACAACACTGGGTGCTCACCGCCTGCCAGGCACTGCAGGAAGCACTCACAATCAACCTGTGATAGGAGCTACGATTGCTCCTGCCGAAAGAGAAAGCTGAGATTTTTTTGAACCCAGAGTTTCTTATTAAAATGTGGCACTCTCAAACGTTCGATTCACCATAATGGTATTCCTATTCTCCGACATCGATACCAGTTATCTCAATTATGGACTTGTTATTAAAAGTAACAGCTGCATCAACTGGGGATTAGACTGTGCCAAACTCCTTACAAATATTAACTCCAATGCTCACAGTAGGTCTAGACACAAACTATTACCATTGCTACCTTACAAAGAAGGCTATTGGGCCCAGATATATTAAGTCCAAGGCCCCACAGTTGGTTAAGTGCCAGATTCGGATTTAAATGAAGGCATGTGTGATCCTAAAACATACTATGTCAGGGCTGTCTCATCCCTCCTTATTTGGGTTTTGGGTTGGGGGGACATGAGAGAAGACAACCCTCTTGTTGTCTTCAAGAATAAACTCCAAAGAGCTGCGCCCGGGACCGACATTATAAACCGGCGGGCGGGTTTGCGAGAGCTCCTTGTTTTGCACTGCCTCGTTGCTGGATTCCTTCCCGATTGTAGCAAATTCCAGGGCTCCAGGCTGCAGGCTCAGCCTCTCACCCTGTGGTGATTTACTGGAGGATAAATACCTCTGTCACTGGGTCTTATGACTGCACACAACAGTCCCAGCGGCTGGAATGCTTGGAATGTGAGGCCTGCTGGCGCTGAGGCAGCAGAGGGCTGCTGGCGTTATCGGCCACCTAACTGCGCAAGGCCTCCTCCTCCAATGAGGCAGCGGGAACGCGCTGACGGAGCCTCGTGTTCTTGCCAGAAACGGCAGCATCCTCGGATACCGGAACCAGGGGAACGGAGCATCCTGAATCATTACGAAACAGTAACGCATGCGTGGGAAGAGGGAAAGCCATAGAACCTTTCACCTGGATACCCAGAGAGGCTCCTTCCAATAACCAGGGCGGCCTCCCGCCTCTGCCAAGACCCCCAACTCTGATCGCACCGACCGGCGAACGCAATCGCCAGAGCAGACTTTCCCAGGCAGCTCGGGGGTGTCTCCAGGTCCTGAGGACACGTGGAAGAGAGCATTCCGCTTCTTTTCACGGCAAGCACGGGTCAGAGGACAGAGCCAGGGGAAGCCGGGATACAGCGCACAGAAAGGCGAGCTGCGTTCCAAATAAAAACGTGGTCCGTGTGGCTCAGATTCAGAGAGCTTTCATCCCAACCCCTTCGTGTCATCCAGAAGGAAACCGAGGCCCAGGGCGTGATAGCAGCACACGCTGTGACGGAAGAGAGGGCGGGTGGCAGATGGAGGACTAGCACCCAGACCTCAGTCCCAGGGGCTACAACAGGCTCACGCATCGCATGGGATACACAGCCCTTCCCTCACTGGGGGAGATTCCAAGCGTACGCCGTGAACACACAGGGCGAGAATTCATACATCTTCACTGCCCCCTTCTGCTCCGGGGCTAACTTCTCTTCCTGTGTCCCTGGCACATGACAACATCCACCAAAGGCAGGCTCTCCTGACGACCGTCCGTACTAGTGCAGGCGAGAAAGGCAACCTTTTAAGACAACCACCCCAAGAAACGGTAACTTCCTTAACACCCGCGCAGAAAACACATGAATGGTCCGATACCTAAGCCAGAGGGATATAAGATGTCTCTCCGTGAGTTATTAAAATATAATTTTTAAAATACATTTTATTGATTTTTTTTTTACGGAGAGGAAGAGAGAGGGATAGAGAGTTAGAAACATCCATGAGAGAGAATCATCGATCAGCTGCCTCTTGCCCACGCCCTACTGGGGTTGTGCCCGCAACCAAGGTACATGCCCCTGACTGGCATCGAACCTGGGACCTTTCAGTCCGCAGGCCGACGCTCTATCCCCTGAGCCAAACCGGTTTCGGCTCCGTGAGTTATTAAAATGGGTTTGCTAACCCGCTCCTGGCAGATGGGCCATCATTCATCCTTCCCTCCGCTGCTGACACAAAGGTGCAAGAGAAACACATGGCCCTGGCGTTGTGCGCACCGGCCCGAATCAGAGCGCCCACACTTCCAAACAGGGGACTTACAGATGGGGGTTGAAGATGCGGCTGATCTTGGAAGCGTGGTCATTTTCACAGTCCAGGTCGTCGTCCCCGGGTTCCATGCCGAACTTCCTCTTGCTGGGGCTGATGGGTGGGGGGCCCGTGCGGTGGCTGGTGAGGGCGGATGCCACAGGGATGGTCTGCATCCTGGGTTCTCCCCGGAGAGCAGCTTCACCTACGCAAGAGGAACGATGTAGTCACCGGGCAGCAGGAGGAGAAACGTCCCTGCCTCAGCCCCCCGCTCCCCGCCCGCCCGGCCCCTTGCAAAACTACTCCCAGTGGAAAGTTTTTGGCAACATGAGAAGGAACCTTGCCATTCTCAGAACATGGTCTGAGCATAAGGTTAGCTGCCAAGCGTGAGACGTTTTGCATAAACGTGGTTTTTCTAGCACAATAATTCTTCCCTCCAACCCCCAGCTTTACTGTGACATTAGCTAAGTTGAAGGTGTACAAATGTGCTGATTTGATACTTATATATGGCAAAACGTTTTCCACCACAGAGTTAGCTGACACCTCCATCACCTCACGTAATTGCCATTTCTTCAATAACTCTTCAGGGTAAAGTTTAAAATTAAAAGTTGCAATAAAGTAACAGAGAGGGGGGGAAAATGGACCATAAACCACCTCTGAAGTTAATTTAAAACATGAAATGACTTTTGATTTATGGGCATTTGGCTCCATACCTCTAAGAGAATGACCTAACACAGGGTTCACTGGAACACGATACCAAATTCACTTTTCTTACTCATTACATTTTTATTGTATTTTTGGTAGGTTATTTTTTTTTAAGAATGAGGAAAATTTATGGGTTAATGATTCACACATATGCCCAAAAAGTTACCAGAAATAGAAATGCGCTGTTTAATGAGAAATAAACATTTTATTTTTAGCGTATACTAAAAATGGCATGTTAAAAATACTATGATTATTATCAGCACATTTTTGGAGTATAATGATTCACAAGTTTAATTCACAGGTACAGTTCTCAAAACGTGTTTCCAAAGTCAGACACTCAAGTTCAAGTTCACATCTCGATCTGATTCGACATCTTAATGTTTTTCACTCCCATTCTAAAAAGGCTGTGTGTTCAGTAAAAACTCTGTGCCTATGAACTGAAATAAGCATAACTGTTTATATGCTTATAATAAAGGTGTATACCTTCTAAATTTATAAACAATAATAATTACTTTAAGAGAAAACTTGAAGCTTTCTGAGTCAAAAGGGGGGAGAGGGACCTACATTTTTCACAAATAATATCCTTTTTGTGGTGCTATTCGTATTGGTCTCTCAGGCCTGACCAGTTGAGTTTGCACTTGGTCACACTCGGAGAGTAATATTAGGATAAAGTCAACTTCATCTGAGACCTTGTGGTACCTAAGAAAGGCAATCTTTGTTTGCCACCACTAATTTTCATATCATCACAGATGTGTGGACGGTTTTAACAGTCGTTTGCTTCATACACATATGACAAATATGATTTTGTGAGGGCAAGGAGCGAGGAAAAAAACCTTCTGAATGTTTACCAGGAAAAATAAAAATTTTGCCAATTTAGTCAACCAAGATATAAACTAGCAAATATACAGTGACCCGTAATACACCTCCAGTAAGGATTTCTTTTTGGGATTTTGGCCCCAATGCAAACTGGAACTTTCCATTTTAAATGAAATATCTTTAAAAAAAAAAAAAAAAATACACACACACACACACACACACACACACACACACACACACACACACAGGGTCTAGGCTGGCCTGCTCCTCTCAGAAATCCAGTAGGATTTTGGTTGACCTCTACTTCCAATTTAGTAATTTTGGTTTAAACAAACAAACAAGCAAACAGAGCAGTGCTAACACGGATGCCTTGATAAATCAGAAATATTCTTTCCCAACACGGCCCTCTTTCTTATACTCGCCTCCTCCCCAGGGAGGGCAGGAGTTTCGGGGTACAGCGTCTGTAGCCCTGCTAAACTCTTGGAGGAGCCCTGATGATACCCCCAGGAACTCAGCCATTGCAAATCAAACCTCGTCACCAGGCCAGAGCCACCACGCCCTCCGCCCAGTGTTTCTCCACATCCTTGGCAGGACGCGGGGATGAGGAGTGCTCGGGCTCCATGCAGACCCCTGGGATCTGGGAGCCATTTCATCAGATGCCAGATGTGTGGCAACAGCAGTTGCCATGGAAAACCACCATCACAGCAACAAATTCAAATCGCTCCAAAAAAGGAAGAGTCACTCATCACACAGCATACACTATTCCACGAAAAGCAAAACTCCTGGGGTAAGGACAACATTCCGGTCCACTCTCCAATTTTCACCCAGTGCTCGCATTACAAGTTCACCGAGTTGATGCACTGCTTATCTTTAACACTAAAGCGCTGGTGTCTGGCGGGGAAGTCCACAGGGATACCCTGAAAACACTGAAGATTTCTGAACTGGGGGGAGGGGGAGAAACAGACCCGCAAGAAGCCATCACTGGTCCTTCTCCCGATGAGCTGCAACCTAGCTCTACCAGACCCCACAGAGATGAGGGACAGGCGGGTTGATGGCACCAGAAGAGGCCTTGTGCACGCGGATTCACCGAGACACACACACTGGGTTCTGCTGCCCTCGTTCAATATTACGCAAGTAATAATTTCTTAGTCAACGTTGGTTGCTTGGGGAATTACAGGGCTGTGAACCACAAGTGTAAAATGGTGCTGCTGCTATGGAAACAGCTAGGCAGTTCCTCAAAGGTTAAACGTACATTTACCATTTGACCCAGCAATTCCACTCCTAGATGAAATGCTCCCAAGAAAAATGAAAATGGTCTTTCACAAAAAAAAAAAAAAAAACCACACACACACACACAAAAAACACACACGTATAATATACGAGTGTTCATAGCAGCATTATTCATAATAGCCAAAAACCCAAATGTCCAGCAACTGAAGAATGTGGTATCCTACCGAATAAAAGAATAATATGCAAATTAACCATCACTCCGCTATACCCACAAGCCACGCCCACCAGCCAATCAGAGCAAGTATGCAAATAAACCCAACCACGATGGCTACAGCCACAGAGAGCAGGAGGGAGGCTTAGGTTTCCCAGGCCATAGAGGAAGCCAAGCTCTCCGCCTGCCCTTGCCAGCCTAAATCTCCACTCAAGACTACAAAGTTTCAATTATAGAAGATACAAAAGAAATGGCTGCCGACCAAGGAGCAAGCAGGAGGCTTGGCTCCACTCCAGGTTACAAAGTTTCAATTATAAAAGATAAATAAATTCCAAATACCAGGGCCTCTGCTTGGGTTACCAGGGAGCGTGGCTGGCCTGCAAACCACCACAGGCCCCTCATCTAGGCCGCCCCCTGCCCCAAAGAAATCCCCACCCTGATCCAGGACATCCTTCAGGGCAAACCAGCTGACCCCCACCCATGCACCAGGCCTCTATCCTATCTAATAAAAGAGTAATATGCAGATTGACCATCACACCAACACACAAAGATCCTGTCCCCATGTGGACACAATATGGCCACCACAGGAAGGCCTGCAAGGAAGGGCAGTTGGGAGTGATCAGGCCTGCAAGGGAGAGCAGTTGGGGGCAATCAAGCCTGCAGGAGAGGGCAGGTAGGGGTGACTAGGCCGGCAGAGGAGGGAAGTTGGGGGCAAACAGGCTGGCAAGGGAGCAGTTAGGCATCAATGAGGCTGGCATGGGAGTGGTTAGGGTAATCAGGCTGGCAGGCAGAAGTGGTTAGGGGCAATCAGGAAGGCAGGCAGATGAGCAGTTGGGAGCCAGCAGTCGGACATCCCTCGAGGGGGTCCCAGATTGGAGAGGGTGCAGGCTGAGCTGAGGGACACTCCCTGCTCCATGCACGAATTTCGTGCACTGGGCCTCTAGTATCCATATAAAACAATATTGTTTAGCCATAAAAAGGAATGAAGTACGGACTCATGCTACCACAGTTTGGAAAACAGTTTGCTATGTGGAAGAAGCCAGACACCAAAGGCCATGCAGTTCTAATTCTATTTAGATGAAATGTCCAGAACAGGCAAATCCAAAAAGACAAAAAGTAGATTAGTGTGATTGCTCAGGGCCTGGGAGAAGGGGAACTAGAAAGTAGCTGCTAATGAGTACCGGGTTTTATGGGGGGAGATGATGAAAATGTTCTAAGACTGATTGTGATGAAGGCTGCACAACTCCATGAACATACATAGAACCACTGGATTGCATACATTAAATGGGCCCATTATATGGTATGAAATGGCATCTCAACAAAGTAGCTTCCCTTTCCCCCCACACCCAAATGTGTTATCAATGGACGACAGAAAACCCCTTTTCTCTCAGGTTTCTCACACTTAACTGTTAAATAAGGACAAGCGCCCACTAATTTTCCCTGAAATAAAAAGAAACCTTTTGTTATGACAGCTCTATCTCTCTACTCTGTTACAGTCAGATAAGTCCGAGCTCAGTTTCCAATCAGACGGAGGCGGAGTGCCTGTTACACGGTGAAGGCTGTGCAAAGTGCTGTCAGAAAAACGAATGGGGACATTTACCCAGACCCTGACCACAGCAGAGGAGGGGGAAAATGCACACCAAAGGAACTTATCTTGGGGGTATTGAAGACTTTTTTCTTTTACACTGGTGTATATTCTAAATTTCACAATGGCTTGGCACTTGAAAAAGGAAAAAAAGATTATCTTTTTTTTTTTTTTTTTTCAAGAATAAACAGAAGAAAGGAGATTTGAGCTGCCTGAGTAACCCAGTATTTTAAGTATCTCTAGTAGGCTTAGCTACAATAGTCAATTTAACTTTTTGAAAATTTACGGTTATGACAAAAGAAGTTTAATTTTTTTAAATGTGTTTGGCATTTTCATCTCGGTGTGTTAGTGAAAGGAAAATGCCTAATTTTTTGTATAGATACAAAAAATTACAAAAAATGGTGACAATTCTAATATATGAACTAAAAATAGTGCTTAATTTTTTCTCCCAACTGAGGAGGAGCAAAGATTGTGGCCCAAGATGTCACAAGAATCAGCACATATTAACTTCAATGTAAAAAAATTTTAACCCAGAGAAACAAAAAAGAAAATCACCTAGCTTTACGATGTGCTACGTAACAATTTGGGAGAAATAGTACAAGGAAATTCTTTCAAAGTCGGATGGAGAAGATGGAATACATAGCCTGGTTTCAGAATG